ATTAGAAAAGAAAGACTTTGGGAAGAAAGGATTTTTTTTATTTGCTAGTGGTTGCTTAGCCACATTTTGAAGGTGAGGAAACATCATCTCTGTAATGACTAAAACATGTGTTATAACTCAGGGCCGCAATGCCAGGTCTTGCGAGGCCGTCGCCATCCCAATGCTTGCCTAGCCGTTGCCATCCCAAAGCTTGAAATTTATATGGTTATTTTATAACTTTGTTAGTTTATGGGGTTAAAATGTAGTTGTTTCATTAACTGATTATTATAATAAATATTTATAAAGGATTAAAGTGACAGCTTAAATTTTCTTTACCTTTTTATGTTTCCCAATACGTTAATTCATTAACGCACCTCGTTCTCTCAAATCTCAGTAAACCAACTTGATTAAGTTAATGTTTTAATTTTAAGTATTTCTGCCACTACGCTAAATATATAATTCTGGTTTGTACTATGATTAAGTTCTTTATCTTATGGTTTAAGTTTCTTAAGTCAAATAAATACAGTAAACCCTCTTCGTAGTGATACTCTATATAAGAATAAACTTTATATAATCATAAAAAATTATATTTTCAATTTAGGATAGTTATAAATAAATATAAACTCCACATTGTAATAAGTTATAATTTTTTTAATTCTCGTCTTATGGAAAGTTGTCTTCACATAGTAATAATTATATGTATATTGTAAAAAAAAAAATGTTAAATTACATTGAAATTTAAGATGAAATAAAATATTTATTTAAAGTTATTTGAGATAATAAGTTATGTTTTAGAGTTGTTATCACATCTTTGAACTTGCGAATAAAGGTGGAACAAATGGGTTGGGTTAGGCGGGTCAACCCTAACCCGGCCCGCATTAGAGAGGGTTCAACTCGGACTGCCTTATAGGCGGCATCAACCCCCGGATGGGCCGGGTTGCTATTTGTTTACAACTTGCCAACCCGCTGGGTTGGCCCACAAAAAATAAAAAATTAATTATTTTTTTTCAAGTTTCCCCCATTTTTTTAATTCTTTTAATTAAACTATTATGATTGAACTCTTACAAATAATTTTACACAATAATATTAAACTATACTTCTAAATCATAAATATTAAAATGTATAAAACTTTGTAATATTTGACACATTGTTATTATTATTTTTTATGGTACGTAAAATATAAAAAAATTAAATACTGAAGTCTTATTCTTAAATTTCCATGTCTTGTATAAAATATAATTCATTCTTATGCTAAAGTTTCATCAATTGAATGAATAAATCTAATTTTTCTTATATTACAATTTTATTATATTAAAATTGAATTAATATTTGAAATGTTAATAAAAAAAATTAATTTAATTGAATTATTGATATTTGAAGAGTTAACTAAAAATAGTTACATTTATTCATTTATAAATCGTTAATTATTTATTTAAAAAGTTAACTAAATAAAACAAAATCAAAAAAAAAAAAAAATCAAAAAAGGGCGTTAACTCGGCCCGACCAGCAGCCTAACCCGGCGGGTTAGGGTTGGTGGGATGGGTTGGGCCAACCATTCCCCCAAACATGGTGGGCCTAACCCGGCCTGCCTTTGTTGGCAGGCGGGTTAGGACCAACCCGCCAAAAGTAGTAACCCGCTGCAGGTCGGGTAGAGTCGGGCCAGGCGGGTTACTTTTCCAACAGTACTTTTTGTACTTTCGTACTATCATCCTTATAATTATTTTCTTTCTCTTATTGTCTAATTGTAGCAATGATTTATTTTTCTGTTAAAGTATACATGACTTGTTGCTCGTTTGGATGATTAAGGAAGACATTAATATCCATTTGATTAATGTAATGAAGTTGTCGAATCTGATCACTCAATTTTACAATGACTCTTTGATTCTCCTTATCCACTTCAATTGTAACTTGCAATTCATCAACACTAGGGGTCTTAATTTTTTAATGCTTAAAACAATTGATAATTGTCTGTAGCTTGACATCAATTGACCATGCAGCAACTGCATTTACAATTCTATCAAAGACAGTTATCTTTGTTGGTTCTAAGACATGATCTTCTATCTGTTTCAAAAGTAGGCAATTGAAGCGCTGAATTGAAACCCTAATACTATTAAAACATGAATTGAAATCATAATATTGTTCTACTAAAACATGGATTATGAAATAAGAAATTTTTGTAACTACACCTCTATTAAATTATAACCTCCTCATAATAATAAAATTAGTTAGTTCTACCATTATGATTATATATAGGTTTTACTATACCTTCAAAATTTATAAGAGTGATATACATGTATTAAAACAAATTTATTACATAAATATACTCTTTTATGAAAACTTAAGAGCTAGTTGTTAAATTTAAATATCTAAAACCAGTTGTTAAATATATGTAGTAATCTTATGTAAAGTGATAACTTTAACACAAATAGTCTCGAAACATTGTCTTCCGAGGTGTACATACGACTTTCATCTAATACAATTTTCCATAGAATTCTATGTATCTATAAGATTGAGTATGAAATTTTGTTTACTCATTTTAAATTGAGTATCTGTTCTCTCTCCTCCTAGGATGAGAAATAATGTATTTCAAATATTCATAAAATTGAGTTCTTGTGCTTTTGAAATAGTGCAAAAAAAAAAAAAAAATTCCTCCTAGGATGAGAAATAAGGTATTTGAATTGTTACAATTGTTTGTTGACATGGATATATATAACACAAATTTCTCCACAGATCCTTTCTATCTAAGGTCTGGGAAATGATTTCAATATTAGACCTTAGACATACAGTAGTTCCGAATCAAATCTCTTTAGAAAAGTCTTTTTTCTTGTGGTATTCACATATAATATGGGACATTCAATCCACTTACGAGTCTTTTGCTGTTGGGTTAGCTTTACACTTCACATGTTTCAGTTATTCACACGAGTCTTGGATAAAAATTTACATTATATTATCTATCGATAACAATGACGTAACAAGAATTGATAAAGATATTTTACCTAAAAAAAAATTGACAAAGATACCGTATATGATGTACTAAAAAAAAAGTAAATATTAAATAATAATATTATACTAATAAAGACTTTATACAAAATAGCGTAGCATTATTTTTGTATTATCATATCATTTACTGTTATTTAAGGTGTATTTATTAAATTGGTTTTTTATAATAATTCATCTAACCATAATCCTACATGTCAATTTGTAAAAAAAAATTTGTATAAAGTCTTTATAAATATAATATTATACTATTAATTTAGTATAATAACAAATAATGGCCATGAATGCAAGTGACGTACGTTCATTGAGAGGATGTTACTGTTTAATCTTTAATGCCTATATATTATAGTTCTTTTGTTTCTGCCCATCCTGCTTTTGTTTCTTCTCCAAACATACAAAACGAAAAATATTCGTTCGCCACCTGGTCCTAAGGGTCTTCCTTCGATCAGTAATTTACACCAGTTTGACAGTTCAAACCCCGATAATGTGTGGAAACTCTCTCAAAAGTATGGCCCCCTCATGTCCTTGCGTATCGGTTCTATGTCAACCCTGATAGTTTCATCGACAAAAATGGCTAAAGAGGTGTGGAAAACTCATGATCTCGCATTTTGTAGTAGACCTGCCTTACTTGCTATGCGAAAGTTATCTTACAAGGGCTCAGACTTAGCTTTTGCTCCATACAATGAGTCTTGGAGGGAGAAAAGGAATTTGTGCGTTATGCATCTCTTCAACCCAAACAGAGTGCAACAATTTCGTCCCACTCGAGAAGACGAAGTTTCCCGTATGATTCAAAAGATATCAAAATCAGTTGCTGCTTCGAAACCGGTCAGCTTAAGTGAGTTACTGATGTCCATGACGAGTAGCATTATTTGCAGACTTGCTTTTGGGAAGAGGTACGAGGGTGATGAACGTGAAGGAAATGGATTTTGTGCTATGCTTCATGAAACTGAGGCCATGTTGGGAAGCTTCTTTTTTTCAGATTATTTTCCTTTCATGGGCTGGGTTGACAAACTTACAGGAATGAAAAGACGCCTTGAAAACAACTTCAAGGAACTTGATATATTCTTCCAGGAAATAATCCAAGACCATTCTGATTCCAAGGTGCCCAAAAACGGGAAAGAGGATATCATTGATATTTTTCTTCAGATACGAAAAGATGGAGGACTTAAAGTTGATATTACTTGGGATCACATCAAAGCAGTTCTCATGGTAATGTATATTTTTCTTATAATTTCATAATATTTTATATTTAAGCTTCAAAATACAAATATTGTTTCTCTTATTTAATTTATTTATTTATCTTTGCAAAATGTATTTGCTGGTGGCTCAGACTCAAGTGCAACTACAATTGTTTGGTTCATGACCTACCTAATGAAAAATTCTAGAGTAATGAAGAAAGTTCAAGAAGAAATTAGATCTGAAATCGGAAAGAGAGGCTTTGTAGATGAAGATGATGTTCAGAAGTCGACTTATCTTAAAGCTGTAGTGAAAGAGTCAATCAGATTGCAACCAGCGGCTCCTTTTCTAATCTCAAGAGAAACAACTGAAAAGTGCATCATAGAGGGGTATGAAATACAACCTAAAACACTCGTTTTTGTGAATTCATGGGCGATAGGAAGAGATCCTGAAGCTTGGGAGAACCCAGATGAATTCTACCCTGAGAGATTCAACGACAGTTCTATAGACTTTAAAGGACAACACTTAGAGTTCAAAACATTCGGTGGTGGTCGAAGAATTTGTCCAGGATTACACATGGGAATAGCCACGGTGGAGCTTGCACTAGCTAATCTTCTTTACAAATTTGATTGGAAAATGCCACCTGGAATGAACAAGGAAGACTTAGATTTGGAGTGTTTACCAGGTGTCACCATGAATAAGAAGATTGCTCTCTGCCTTACGCCCATCAATTATGAATAAGAAGAATATTAATTTCCGTTAACTAATTTTATGGATTTTTGTGTAATTCATATTAATGTTCTCTAGTTGAAGCCATGGACTCATGGTGGAGGTTTTACTGATAGTGGTAACAATCTTATTTATTTGAAAGTTCTCTTGCTATAGTACAAGGAGATCCTGATAAATGATAATTCAATACTCCCCATAAATTCACACCGAATTAAAAATTGGGTTAACTACAAGAACTAAATAAAAAGATTGATGATGACGCTATAAGAAAGCTATCCTTAAAGTTTTGAAATTATTCAAAAACCATCCTTTGAGCCTCACACCCGCAAATTCAATTAACGCCAGAGGGTTAGAAAGAGAATATTCTAATGCTTCTTGAAGGATAAAATTGGAATAAAGTTAATAAAAGACATTCTAAAAAATAACGTAGATTATTATTATTCACAATAATGCTAGATTTAACAAGAAATTTGTAAAGATTTATTGTACAAAGTGATGTGGTAGAAAATTAATAGAAGAGTGAATACAAAAAGTCAAACTCATCATATTCACATTTTTATTTATCTCCTATCACTTTACTTTATACAAAAAATCTTTGTACATCTAGCATTCAACCATTCAATGTTTCCGTTTCTACCTACCAAAAAAAAGTTTTTTATTCCCTATTCTACCCATGACAAAAAATTAAAATTAAATTAGACCAAGCCTTGTTGGATTCAAATCCATGAAATAAATATCCAACTCCGTGGTAATAATATTACGAAACAAAAGTTAAAAGCACAAATCCGATATAGAAAAAAAATGGCAAGAAACAAAGTTGTTGTAAGCAGCCTAGTTAGTTAATTCGCGTATTATACGCGAATTATACGGCTATCCGTATAATTCGTGTATAATACGCACATATCCGAATTTTATAAAATCTGCCATATAATTCGCGTATAATAAGGTATACCGTATAATTCGTGAATTATTCGCGAATTTTTGAAAGAAAAAAAAAACATAACCTCACACCCCCAAAACGACGTCGTTTTGGTGGGTTTATACAAAAAATTATAACAGAAAAAGATCTGGTTCACTTCGCTATGTACAAACAAACAAACACAAAGCAACACTCTTTATATCTCTCCTCAAAATTCATCATCTCTCTGCAACTGTAATGGCTTTCTCAAGAACGCCTCTCATCTCTTTCCTTCTAATCTCACTCCTCTTTGCCTCCTCAATGGCTCAGTCTCCAGCTCCTGCTCCGGCTCCGACATCTTTGCCTCCTTCCGCTTCCAAAACTCGACCAGTGGCTGCGCCGTCTCCTTCGAAGATTACACCGGCGGCTGCTCCTTCTCCTGTCGTCGTCACCTCACTGCCATCCCCTCCTCCGTCGATTTCTTCTCCGGCTCCAGCGACTTCTCCAGTCGTAGCTAGGCATATATTTTTTTTTTTTATCTCATTCTTATTGCTTAGTCCCAACGCGCTACCGAATTTCTTGTCCCTACACATTTATGATGTACTAAAATTAAAAAATTGATATTGGCTTGGGTGAGCACATGGCTTTATGGGGGGAGCAGTGAGAGAGATTTTCTGCAAATTTTTAACTTCGTTTTCGGTTCTTTAGATAAGCTATCAGCCTATCACTATAGAACACGACAATTATGAATTAACCTAAGGGAATGTGTAACACTTGGAACTCAAAACCAAACCAAGTGTTCAACTCTTGTTGCATGTTGAGCTTTTTAGCCACCTGCAAATGGCCACGCCGCCATGGCCACGCACGTACCCGCCACCATGCTTTAAAAAGAGAGAGAAAGAGAGAGAGGAGTTATTGGTTATGGAGTTTTGCTTATGAGAGTTGAGAGAGGGAGAGGGTTTGGATCCATTATCAGGAAGACTTTTCTGACACGTAATCACTGGCTTCACTTTGGATGATGTGGGTTCTTGCCACGTGTCACTTGTGTTACGAAAATATCAAAAACAAAAACAATAATATTATAGAACTTGATTTTGTGTTTTACTGTAGATCATATAATATAAAATTTTGAAGGAGAAATTAAACAAAGAAGGAAGCCTTAAATTAATGGAAAATCTACAATTTGGAAAGATTTCTTAGAGTAGTTAAATTCTTGATATCAGGTTTTGCTTTTCTTTTTGTTCTTCATCCTTGAATTCTAACAAGAGAGTTCAATGTATATTACACATAAAGACAAACAAGGGCAACAGAAATTCATCAAAACATTTGCAAATTGAAATATAATATTAATTATTTCTACCGCTAGAAACGGCTCTCTTATATTCTCTCTACCCATTTTTAATTTCTTTTATATTATTTAAATTAAAAGAAAATATTGAGTCTGGAGACTATAATTTGAATATCAGTTATATATTGTGTATTTGTGTTATTGGTTAATTAAATACTTTGCATTTGACCAGGTATTTGATAATGTTCTCTACTTCTCTTTTATGTTCTTGTAAATACAGTCAAATTGAATACTTTTGTATTTGAAATGTTATGTTGATTTTAACCAGGTAGTCCATAAAAGTGTTAAAACTAAGATTGATATTGCCGTATTTTTCAAAACGTATTATTGACAATGCACCGTATTAAACCCGTATATACCCGTACCGTATTTTTCCCGTATCCGAATTTTATGGCCGAATTTTTATAAACGTATTTTACACCATTTATCGTATTATACCCGTATAATTCTCATACCATTTTTTTGCCGTACCCGTATTAACTAACTAGGGTAAGCAGGTAGCCGCCGCCTGGACAGAGCATTATTGGCTGCGGCAATTGCCTGGCCTTGGGCTGGAAGCTCTAAACTCTAAGGTAGCAAAATAAGGAAATTTAATTAATTTAAAAATATATTCCTATTTTTACACAATTTCAAATTTCATTAAAGGTGTATTTGGTTGTAGAGAATGTTATATTAATGAAAAGATAAATTATCTTGAACGTTACTGGGAATTTTAGGGAAATGTATTTAGTTGATTGGAATAAATTGGTTGGTATATTATATTAATATATTTGATTGGGAGAAATAAATTAGTGGGTATATTATATTAGTATGTTTGATTGGAAGGAATAAATTGGTGGATATATTATATAATTTAAAAAATTGGCCTCCTTTTTAAATATTAATATATTATTATTTTTGTTATTATTTTTTGAATAATTTCTTTTAACCCATACGTTTGAGATATTACTAAAACACTTTAGCAACCAAAAAACTTTAAAACTTAACAAAAATACCCTCATCCACCCCAAGCTATTGTCGGTCGCCTGCCACCACCGTCGGTGGCGACAACAGTGGTTGGAACGACACACAACCGACTTAATCTGGCCGGTTGCGCACCGATATGGCCATTTTTGGCCAAATCTGTGATGGATCTAGCCAGAAATGGCCAAATCTACGGCCAGAACTGGCCGTTGTTAACAACCAAAGGTCTAGTCTTAGTTAACAGTTAGAGTTTTGGTTGTAGCCGTTAATGATGACCAAAGATCTAGCTATCGTTAATGGCCAGAAGCCGTAGATCTAGCCGTTTTTGGCCAGATCTACAGCAATCTGGTAGTTTTCGGCCAGAGATCTGGCGAAAACGGTCAGATCATCGCATGGCCAACTAGATCCAATTGGTTGTGCGCCGTTCTGGCGCTACCAGCTGGCAACAACAGTGGCCAGATCCGGCCACCACCCTTGGGTAATTTTTAAAGTCCAGGGGTATTTATGTCCTAAATTTTTTTTTATCCAAGGATAAAATAGTTCATTAGTATTTTTGTAAATTTTTTTTTTAAAATAAGGGCATTATTATCTAAAAATTTTAATTTGTAACAAAAATAAAATTACCAAATAATCTTAAAATACCTAAGAAAATAAAAGTAATCAGATTACCTCTTATATTACCAACAATAATTATTATTAGTTTTAAAAGATTACTAGAATCTTATATTACTTGACAATCAAACATGATAATCAAGTAATATAAGATGACATTACCTCAGTAATGAGAGATTGCCCCCAACCAAACACCCCCTTACGTGATTTGTATATTACCTTCTTACACCTTATTACTTCTGTGGATTGTTGAAATTACATTTATAACCCTTTGCTATGGGAAAATTTTAAACGGTGTCACATGGGAGGTGGTAACTGTCAATTTTTTAAATAATATTGGGGTTAAAAAGTCAAAAAGGTCCAAGCTTGGCATGCACCTGTAATCATGAAATAACCTAAGGGATAAGGATATTAGGGGAAGATAACCCTAAATTTTAAATTCTTAATCATTAAAACATAAAAACGTTTTATTTGCAAAACATGGAGCGTTTCTTCTACGTCCTAAACTATGCTTTATAAAAGTCTCCCGATGCCAAAAACAGACACCGTCTAGTGTCATGTCCAACCTAAGTCCAAGTTCATACGAGGCCCAATATTTAGTTCAAGAGGCTTGACTTAGACTTGACCTAGAAGCATCAAAGAACATGCCAAAGAATCATTCTAAAAGCTTTTAGAATGTTCCTTCACAAAAAAGGTAGCAAAGCAGGATTATGATTTTATTGCTTGTATTATTAATCCTAGCTATTTATCTTAATGGTTATGTACAGATTTGGACTGTCAACTCTACTTGTAAACTCCTATATAAAGCTAGCTAGTCTTAAGTTATTTTCATATATTCTAAACATTGTATTCCATTGAGAGCAATACAATAGATTTTTTCTCTCCATCTTTGTTCTTCGTGTTCTTATTTTTCTTTGGGAGTTTGTGGGCTATTTAGGTTTACTTAGTGTTCAATCTCTTGTTTGTGCACTAAGTCTTTGAGAGTTTGCGGGTTATCTAGGCTTACTTAGTTTTCGATCTCTTGTTTCTGCACTAGGTCACACAATTCTTCTATAGGTCACAAGACTCTTCTAAGGTCATGACACTAGTAATGTTCAGATGGTGGTTAGAGTTATTGCTCCCACTGATTGTCAAGGTGCTTTGTTTCACACTTTATGTTAGTGTATGCCTTAAGAACCAATCGTGTTGTCGGTTTTAGGA